CTGATAGTAATACGCGTCACCAATCAAATCACACAATTGATCCGATTTCAAGGTTTCCGATAATTTTTTAAACGATTATGTCTCAAAATTTACTAATAAGCTATGTGAGGAGCTTTTATTGAGTTTTATTGTAATAAATTGAAGATAACTAACGTCAGTTCTAGGCTTATCCCTTAATCGCAGACTTAGGCAAGTCCTACCATACGTCAGTGACGTACGCAAGAAGAAGTATGAATTATTCATACATCCAGGGTGTAGATTGCAACAATTTCCTTTGAGAAATGAGATAGAACATCGCCATCATTTCCTTCCTCCTGTTGTCAGCTTCAGACGCCCGTATACTTACTCTTCCAGATTGATGTCATCTTAGGAAAGTTATTCTTACCCTTTAAATTGTTGACAAAGTTGGATATTACGTTACAGAGATATATTTTATTGTTTTAATTGACGAAATAAATTAATGCATTGTATCCGTGCAAATTTAATTTGACTTATTTAAGATTGGAACAAGCGAACGACACAAAACCTTGCTTGGTAAATATAATCACGTTAATACTCATAGGTGTATGGTAATATTATATACAGAGTGTCTCCCTGTATAAATTCTTGTCCATTATTACATCGATGATTTTAAAACGTTACACAATTTATAAAGTAGGTTTTAAAAATATTCTGGAATAATTCAGCTTCCTAACATGAATAATTGTGTTAAGTTTCAAAATGTTCGGTGCATACAATAATGGGCAAGTAATATAAAATCAAACTTTTAAACTTCTTCGTGGGCCACTCTGTATATACAGGGTAAATAAAAAGTCAAGACCCCCCCCTCTAATATTTTTCCAAGTAAATATACAGAGATATCCTTTTGGTGGTCGAGCAATCTTAGCAGGAAGTTTCATTTTATCATTTTGAAATTTTTGAGTGTCCCCCCAAAAGGGGGGATTTGGGGGGCAACTCAAATATTTTAAATGTAAACCCCCTTCAAGTGACACCTCATTTTGAAGTGTTTACAAAAACTTAAAGAATGGCGAAAACTAGAGGTCGATACCTCTTCTCTATCCAAAATGGTAGCCCGTCAAATGTTGTGGAAAATCAACGGTAAAATTGTTAATATTGGCTGTCATTTTGGACAGAGAAGAGATAGCGAGCTCTGGTTTTCACCATTCTTTAAGTTTTTGTAAACACTTCAAAATGAGGTGTCACTTGAAGGGGGTTTACATTTAAAATATTTGAGTTGCCCCCCAAATCCCCCTTTTAGGGGGACACTCGAAAATTTCAAAATGACAAAATGAAATTTCCTGCTAAGTTTGCTCGACCACCAAAAGATTATCTCTGTATATTTACTTGGAAAAATATTAGAGGGGGGGGTCTTGACTTTTTATTCACCCTGTATTTAAATAGGTACCAAAGTACCAGTGGGTTTTAATTGTACTTTGAATCTACCAATCCAGCGAAGCTTTCTTGGTTAAGACAGTAATGGGGATGTTTTTCAATGGTGGTAATTAGGATAAAATATATTTTTCATAATTTTCACGTTAAAATATATCATTTTACATAAAATAACCTAGTACTTCTAAAGGAGCTGACATATCGTTTAATATAAGTCATTGTCACGTACTTTGTTGATAGTATTTATACATTTACGTTATTTGTCATTAAAATCTGTTCTAAAACTTGATATGAATCAATTTGGCATAACACCCAAATTAGTATTGTGAAACATCCACGTTCATTTCAGAGACAATAAAACGGATAGACCCAGTAAAACGGAATGACTCTAACAGTATTATATTGATCCAATCACCGTTGTTCCAGGTCATTGAGTTTTAATATCAAGAACTTCCTGGTTATGTTCAATGCGAGGGCAAACTTTGCACTTGAAACTTTAATGGAAAATTATTTCTGCAAATATCGAACACTTAAAAGTGGACTTTAAGAAGTTAGTTTTTTTTTTAGTTTTATATTGCAATTGTGTTTTTTTTCATTATATGGTATTTGAGTTTTAGATTATATGTTTCGTGTATTCATTTAGATTAGATCTGTCTCCATTTTTCCCGAAACCACGTTTTCTTGCCACGCCGTTACAATTCAATAGGCGATGTGCCTATTGAAAAAACTATCAAAAGACTAATCATGCTCTAGAATTTACATTTCTACAGTCCTACAAAGTTGTGCGATTGTGATTGGGAGGGAATAACTTTGGCCGTAATCATTGCACAACACATCTTTAGCACTGAACAACCTATAATAATGGATGAAAAACTCACTATGTTAAAAAAAGGTTAATGTATATTTACTAACAAAAACTGTTAAAAGGGTGGTCAAATAAAATAATGTAGCTAAAAATTGGATCAATACAAGAAGTCATTAAACACTAAAGCTAGATCTATCTGATGTTAAATGTCAGAGAGGGGATCAGATGGCTTTAGCAGGCATGGTAAGAAACTGATTCAAATACATAGATATTTTGACCGGATTCTCAAATGAAAACCTGCTTAACTGGATTTGTATATATGTCATGTTATTGAGTAAATTTTTTTTTTTTATCTAAATTGTCTACTCACATTTATTGGCATTGTTCAAAATTATTATTGAATTTCTTACAATAATAATTTCTTCCTATTGATGAATGAAACTTACATGAACGTTCATCCAGTATACTAGTTATTATTCATATCATGTTTTAGATTATTATAAATATATAGTATAAATAAAAAAAGATACTGGGACGCTAATTAGGATAAGAGTTTGGGTATGTTACTGTGCTAATGGTTAGCTTGTCATACTTCGGTATGAGAAGGGTGGATTTGATTCCCGCAATAAGCACGAGGAGGTTTAGAACACGTGTTTGTATAATTTCATAAAAGTTTATATTCACCTGGACACTAAATCCCTCCGCCGCAGCAAACATGCTCTCCACAAGAATTGCCATTTGCTTGATTGTGTTTTCACTAAAATGTCTCCTTAAATATGTCAGATTATGATATTTTATAACTTGTTTTGTTACGAACTGTGTTGTATTTTTTGTTAATATTTTGTTGTTATCGTTAGTTTTTTAGAGGTTAACTGTAAGAAAGGACCATGAGGTCCTAAGTTCGCCTTAATAAAAAAGGATTTTCATTTCATTTCATTTCAGATTTATTCCTTAATTGAATTACATTAGTTAAACAAGTACTTAGGTTTGCAGCTACAGGGGAGGAGATAAAGTATTTTTCGTGCAATTCTAAAAGTTAAGTATGGAATAGGTGACGTTTCCGAACTTGATCTACAAGTCTTAAAAGATTAAATTCAACTTTAAAAGAAGAAACTAAAACAGTCGTATTATCCTCCATTAAAGAGACATGGTATTTTAAATGTATAGAATTTTGGAATTTTCACAATGAGCATTACACGCATTACAATGCTTTAGAATCCTTAATTGTTTGTTTTTAAACTCTCCATTTGTTATTTAGGTTTAGAAAAATTGAATTTTTTAGGTTTTGAGGGTCAACAATCTTAAAACCCAATTTTTTACACCGTAAAACTAACCCCCCATTTCCGTAGTCCAAATATGTTGGTTTACAAACTCGTTTGAATAAATATAGGTTTACACGTTTGTTCCAAATTTCATCAAAATGGATATATTTTGCTCAAGTTCTCGTGCTAACAGACATACTTATAAAGGTTTTGTATTGACACAAGGTATAGTATATGTATTTATAAATTTGAACAGAGGGTGGTCAAAAAAAGATGTGTGGTCACTGAGGACCTAAAAAGAATGTCGGTCCCGGGTCCTCGTCTTACCATGAGACCTCCGGTAATATCTTATTCCTTAAAAATTCACTAAAAGAAAGACTTAGTGCACTGTAAGATTGTTGGAATATAGCCTTTTATAGATATCGTGCAGAAGTCACATTAAGCGTCTCGTGTCACTTTGATCCTCCATTCTTGACCTCGGAAACCTCAATCCTTCTCTCGGACATTTATCAGCTTTTGACGTGGATTGATAAATGTACAGTCTGTGTAAATAATTTGTAATATTTGAAGCAAAAACGTTTTAAGGCTAATATACTATTTATTCATTAGATTTAAGTTTTATTGCATTATAAAATTTTATTCTATCCAACATTAAATCTTATAAGATTTTCGAAGTCATCAAATAAATATAAAGTCCCATGAAACATTAAAACACATTACATTTTGATGGAGTGGCACAAATTAAACAGATAATTAAAAACGACAATTCCAGATACAAAATAGAATGCGTGTTAAGTTGTGTGACCTATATGAAATTTATTGTATGAATCCTGGTGAAAAATTTATAAGATGAATATAAATTATAAATTAATAGTGAATAAGTTTATATGCTTTGTCATTACTGTAAAGTAATTTCATAATTTCAAATCACTCCAGAAAAATTGCACGTTCCCTTATAACTGTAGGAGAGTCTAAGGAAATATTTCTTTTATATGTATTACCAATATCTTAATTAATTCTATTATTATGAAGTAAGTTAAAAGAGCTGATTTATTTAGTCAATTTTTCTTATTGGGTGTGCCATTAAAATTAACAGAATGAAATAATCAATTTATACTCTGTGCTATAACTTGGTGCAAATAAAATCATCGCAAAACACAAATTACTAAAAGACATTTGATGTAAAAAAATAATAAATAATTTTTTTTTGTTTCCTTGTGGCTATATTAGTAAAACCAAATTCTCAAAAGATAGATATCAAGTTATGGTGCCTAAAAAAGCATTGGTTGTTGGCACAATTTGTTACATATGACAAGTCGAAAGTACAGTGCTGTAAAAATAATAAAAATATTATTCAAATAATGAAAATCTAAATAAACCGATACCAAAAGACTGTTTTTCCTGTTAACAAGATAAGAATAACTGTGTCAAATATATGTATGCAAATTTTAATAGAAAATCTTGGTAAACATGCTATTACTAATGCAGGTCAATAAAACTAACGATTTATTTTACATTTTATTATCATAAAGAACTATGCCAACTTTAAACAAGATGAGATACATAGAAAGTTAATAGATTCTAAATGTGATAGTAAAAATAGAGTTATGTACATTTTCTTAGGTTTACCCATTCATCTGATTTTCCTATATTAGCACATTATTACAGTAAAAAATCGCTATATGCAAAGCCTTTAACGTACCCTCAAAAGATATGTTTACAAGCATAAAACCCCTATTTTTCACAAGTAGATATTTATGCCTGTTTATGATTTCTCCTTATGGATGAAATGTGTAATATCATCCTCAATGATTTCTCGTAAAACAAAACATTCCATTTTTTATTTTAATGTGTTTGGTACATTAGCATTCAAGACTCAAGATGAGTTGATGGTAAAATAATGAACCTCTTTTTCTCTTTATCACTTGGGAAAGGGAACTTTGCAATAATAGTTCTTCCCTTGAGTAAAAGAAATATTCAAAGGACTGTCATTTAATTCCTTTATTTTTCTGTTATACACATTCTAAATAAACAAGTGTTCTAGCTCTGTAATTTTCAATATAGATTGTTCAGGTATGCATATTGATCAATGTACTCGTTTAGTTTTTCCTGTTATTTTATTAGTTTTCTGCTCAAGTTTATTCTCTCCAAGATCTGTGAGAATTTAACTCATGCGTTAAGTAGAGATTACTTGTTTTATTTCAAAAGCATTTTTTATGACAGGATTACATTTTATTAGAAATCATTAAAAATAAATCTTAAATTCAATACCATGAATAAATCGACCTTGATTTAATTCCGATTTTTCTATTAACTGGTATATTTCTAAGAACATACTTCTTTTTGTGTATGTTTATAAGGGCGTTCAACATAGAAAAAAATTGTATTATTCATTGCATTATACCATGGTTTAATATAAGGTAGTGTCACTTAAGAGCAGCTGAGCTCAGCATGGTGTTAGATTAGTGTGTTATCAAAGTTTTGGTTCAAATACCCTGTTCTCCCCCATCCCTCTTCTTCTCAGACCTGCCAGGCCACTCTGCCAGGCCGGTCAGGACCCAGGCCGACTACGCTGATGGCCGGGACTGTGTGTCCGGCATCCGAGGCCATCCCCGGTCAGTCCGGGTCGTAGCGACAATCTATCCTCAACACCAATGCAATAGCTGTCAGGCTCAGCACGGATATCAGCATGAGCACCGAGGCGATCACTGTAGTCTGTGAGCTGACGAAGAGCGAGCCCAGACAGAAGGCGAAGACCACCAGGTGCAGGGCCACGGAGGACGTCCACAGTAGAGTCAGGGGGACGGCCACGCGGACCGAGGGTCCGAGGAACCTGAAGAGGCTCAGGGGAGGAACGCATGACGGTGAAGTGTATCCACTGAAACCCCTACTCGTGTGGATACTCATGGCTGGAACAGACACATGGTGTTATCAGTCGGTTTGTTGTGCCACGTAGTGTAGCGTGTTGTGTGTCTAATGTATATGTATTCGTATGTAAATCGTTTGACATCATCGAATGAAGGCCCTTGAGAGTAATGCCTATGACTTGGCAGCAATCAAAACCTGGCCCACAAGAAGTATGGGCCAGAGCTGTGATGGAGAGTTTGGCATTAACAAAAATATGGCGTAACATTTATAGAACACTGTTGATTTCACATAAAAAAACATAAATTTACCGCCAATGTTGCATAAAATACCATTTACCATTATTACTCAAGTATATAACGCTATTTGATTCGTACTTAATTTTAATATTTTACTATTTTACTATTGAGCTAAAAAGATCATAGGAACGTTAAAATATATTTGAATATTGAATATTTTGAAATTTTAACAGCTTGTTTTTATATTGAAATCAGCTGATTATCGACAAATAAAATGTCTTCATTGAACTATTTTGAAAATCTAAAAGACAATTAAGCTATACACTTAATATCAATCACATGTACTACACTTTGAAGATCACTTACATGTTTTAAAAGGGTGCCAAGATTAAATAAGACAATTTCAATGTGGCAATTAAAAATATCTACGAAACGGCCTCTCGATGTGGAAACTTAATCAAGAGGTTATTTAATTCCCTATGGATTAGATTAATAAGATCCAATGTCGTGCTTATAAGGATTTTTCTTCGTTCTTCAACTTGACAAATGTTTAATTTGCTAAAAGGCTTTTGCTAAATAAGAAAACATTGCCCTTCTAAGGCCATTGTCTCAAACCCACTCAATAAAATGAAGAGCTAAAACAGGATGTACGTTTAGTATCAGATTACTCTGTATACTACTCTGGAGCTTTCGGAAATGTCTAATGTTTTACTATAAGTGCCTTGGTTGATCAATGTACAGTTGTTTTGTAAACATTTATATGTACTCTTATATATTTATTCATAATTCAATATTTAGTTTGGAGGATTTAAATTGTTGTTGCGCATTTAAATGTTTCTAGTTATTTATAACTAGCTGATTAAGCTGTACCTTGTTCCTTATTTATTGTTATAGCAAAACTAAATACCCATTTGTACATTTTAAACACCCATTTCTTGAAATGAGAAATGTCTGTAAAAGCCCAGCATTCTCAATAGCTTACAAAACAACTTTAAAACTGTTTTCAAAGTTTTAACAAAGAAACAGAGTCGTTCCATTACTGGAATAAAAAATATTTCAAATATTTACATAACATTAAGGTAGGCTTACGGTCCACAAATTATTATTGATATATTTCCCTTCTCTTTTCCAATTATAATTCCCAAAACGAAAGAGCTGAAAAAGTCAAATAAATTCGAACCCGTCTGAGAGTTTTCTTTAAATAACACGTTGACTTTGGTACGGAAACTGCTAAGGGAGAAAACATTGAAAACAGTATTGTTGTATATCGTGTTTTTGTTTCCGTTTCAGTTCTTATAAATGTCTTCAGGAATTAACAACTAATTCTGCTAACTCTATTCAGTAACTTATTCACCTCCTCTAAAATACCATGACTAAAAAAATAGGGATTTTCTGCACATTGTGCTACATTCAGGGCGTATATGTAGTCAATAAGATTACGACATCGATTGTGAGAAAAAGCCAGTTGCTTTTAAATGGCTTTAAACTGGACCCAACTGTCTTTGTTCATCTTCGGGGTCATTCCAATTTAAAAAAAAAAACTATTCTTGATAAAGAAGTAGTTGATCTTAGTCACTTCACAGCTGTCACCTTGCCCAATCATCAACCATCCTTTGGCTATCATCGTCTTGGCATATGCATCTATGGAGTGTTGCAAAACTAATATAATATAATTTTCAACGTACCAGCAGCTGCTACTGTCAAAACTCCAGCTGGCATGCCCAGTCCTAGGTGAAGTCTTCCCCGCTCTTCTATGAAAGCCACCGCTCCCATGACCAGGGCAGAGATTCCGCACACTATCTGTAAAGAAAAGTTGGATTTTGAAAAAAATTGATACTTCAGATACCCATGCCACTACAAGGAGCAAAAAATACTGGGTTCCTATAAAATGTGTAAACGTAAAGAATTTAAATTGAAACCACATTTTTAACTTTCAAATTAACTCAGTATGTAATACCTAAGAATTAAAATACAATATACTAAGTGTATAATATTCATAACCAACTGGTTAGTGGTGTAATTAATATCGAACCCTTTTTCAAACTGTGGCTTTTGGATACTGCAAAAATTATTGATGAAAGTGATTTTGAAATACACTATTTTTTATTCTGTACCAAATGAGATAAATAATCTAGGAATATAGTTTCTTGTTTATAAGGAGCAAAGAGAAACTATGCTAAGTAGCATCTGCCGTCACGCATTTCTAAGGCTAAGCATAGGATTCAGGCATTGTTTGTGAATTTGCATGTAAATGTACCAGCAACTGATGGCGTCACAACATTGAGTTGTATTTTATCAGTACAGCACCTACTTGGAATATGTCTTACTTAAGATTGAAACATTATTGGCAGTTTATAATATTCAAATATTGTAGTGCACGCTATATAATTAAATTATTTAATTATCTTATGAAATATTAACTTTGAAAACGGTACATTGCAAATGTCCAATCATCCCCAAGATATAAGAAAAAAAATATACAAACAAACGTTAAAAGTGGTATGTAAGTAAAGGAGGTAAATATTTAAAATACCATTTCAACGTGATTTTAGATTTCTTTATTCATCTTCAATGCTAATAAAATATTGCTATGATAACATAAAGGAATGTTATTTAAGTATTCGTCCAAATTAGATTAAACTTATTCCTAGTATTGGATTATTAATTACTGCTGAAATTGTATCAGTTTGACTGTCAACTAAGTGTACTAGGTAATATTCACGAGTAAACAAAGTTCACAATACTTCAATCTATCAGTGCCAGGACTTTAAAATATCCGGATTGATAACAGTCATTTTAACATAAAGTACCTTAAAAGAGCAAAGTTTAAGATTAATTCTCCTTCAAGATAAATTCTTACATTGCAGGTTTCCCAGGCTGAAGATTTTGAAAACGTTTAAGAGTCACAATATGATTTTTCACGTAGTGAGAAAGTCAGCCAGATTTATTGGTAATGCAACTATGATTTCAAAAGGTATGATTATTATTTATAATTGATACAACTTAGCCATATTTCGGTTTATAAAGACGGGATCATTTTCTTTTAATTGTTGTTTTACGCTTTAGATCAACTTGTTGTATGTGTATTTTAATATTTAGGTTATTACCAGTAAGAATCCTGAAAGTGGTAGAGAAGTGGGTTAATCTTATTTTGTACTGAATCGTAAAATGCTCTTTTTCAAACACCAAGTTTACACTGAATAAGATTAAAAAAACGTTCAATTATTCTAAACTCAATAATATGTATAGCAAAATTACATAAATTGATAGTTCATGAGACCATAAATGAAGGTTATTCGTTAGTTTGTTTTATGATTTGAAACCGTCTTAAAATAAAGTTGTTCATTAAAGGAAGGATATTATCTAAATATATTGCCACAAGTTTATGCATAATTTATTAAACATCCGTAAGGGATACATAAAATATATTTATTTTTAAAACCATCATTATTCTCTAAAATAAATTTATATTTAGTAAAAAACATTAAGGAACTCTTTACAAGTCTGACCTTTTTCGTTTACAATTAATTTTGCAAAACAACTAGGTATTTTTTGGATGTGCTAATTCTCTAAGCTAATTGACTGTTTAGTAGATTGTGTATTACAAATGACAACAGTTATCACATTAATTGTATGCATTACTATGTAGTGTGATTCAGATCACATTTGTACACTAATTGGATTATGCCACGTCATTAGAGGACATCAAGCAGATTAAGTAATGTGTATCCTGCCAACCTGTACCGGATGTGAGGTCATTTTACACACCGGACACTAGGGCAATAACCATGAAGACCCCGGATACCGAGAGCGATATCAGTGATCCATTGCTAGCTGATGTATAGATAACAATTGTTATTCAGTTTAATACAATAATATCTGGACTGCATGCAATACACAGATATACCTATACAACCACAGTTCTTTCGTGAGGGTAGATTTTAACTGTAGTTAACAATAAAAATTATATCATCATTCCTAAAGAAATATTTCTCAGGACCACTTGGCATCCATTACAAATAATAAAGGATACAAACGTTTACAAACTATATAGTACAAGATACTTTGAAAGTATGAATAATCTATGATATACAACTAAATATGATACATAACAACAATCAATCACATAATTTGCATTCGACACAAAAGTCTAGATCAAACGTTAACACATTTGTACGCTCTGAATCTCTTTGAAAACTAAACATCTTTTTTGCAGATCTTTCCATAGGACTATCTCCTATTCCTATCTTTTCAAGAATTCAAATTAGAAACTTCACTCTGGTTTGAGAGTGCAGGTCTAGGCTTGCTCGGGATTTGTTCTGAACCACCCCGTACAGCCCATTGTTAGGTATGAGTCTATATCCAGCCCTTATAGCAGCTTGCATTGATTTCCCTACCTTTAGGTCGTGGCTTTCAAGAAATACACAGAGGCAACTAAGCAATAGGTATAACCCATGAAAATGACCCCTACACGACTTCCGCAAGAGGTGTATTCACAAAATTAAGAGTACTTTGTCTAACATGTAAATTATAAAATGTTTTAACATCCTTCATTTAAAAGCTGAATCAGGATGGCTAGTTATTTTGAGTGCAGCTATGATCTTTTACAATAGTTTCCAATTAGAATTATACGGTTAAATTTACATAAACTATTAACTGCTGTTTAATGAGAAGTGAGGTTGATTGTATGACCTCAAAAGTAGGACGACAAATATTAAGACCTACCAAAGTAGACTTGAACCTAATCCTGCTGAAAATCGCTTTATGGGGTAAAGTAAAATAAATACTAATTTAAGTTTCAGTGGAAATGTCAGATGTCAGGCGGGAGATTAAGAAGCCTTGGCAAAGCTGAGTAAGAACTGTTTCCATTTTCTTAATGCTAAAGAAATAGAGAATATAACTAAACTACGATAAATCAAGCAACCAGTGAAGGTTTATTACCCGATCACTAATTTATCGACAGCAATTGGTAATCCGTTGTTATTTCTTCTTATCGTCAATTTCTTTTTGTCACTTGTTCTTTTTAATGTGGATGAATTTTAAGATAAGTATGGACAACTGGAAGAAGGGTTTACTCAAAACCCCCCAGCTCCAATCTTAGGTTATAAAACAATCAAGGGCCGTTTTTGGTCCTTTTAGACATGATGTGTAAGGCCTACCCATGTTTGCAGTGTACTGAATCAGTGATTATGTATCGTTGATTTTAAAGGCACCAATAATTTAAGCCCGCACCCTGGAGCCGTCACTGAAATTATCCCTACTCTTCATTCTTGTATTGTACCACGTGACCCATTAACTGTCTTGGTATGATTTACGCACAGATCAGGTTGAAAGAAGCCACCAACTGTTTTTTAAAGAATTAGATTAACAGTGTACCAGATTATTTATGCACCAATGTATACGCCTTTTTGTATTTTAAAGGTCATATAGCCACCTAAGTTTGCTTTAGATCTTTCAGCATGTTTTGATCGCTTCAACTGTACAGTACTCTGTTAATTTACTAATGAGCCCTACAGGATTAAGCTACCATTAAACACACACACGCTCTTACTGACCGGCTTGCTCGTTTGGTGACTCACGCATTAGGCTTCAGTCCAAAAGGTTTTTCCGATTTCATTTTTAGTTTTCATGCCTATCAAACTCATATTATATTTCATGAAAAGTAAAACAACAATGTTATCCCCCATTTCCGTGTCCATCAGCTTAGATGGTTGTAACACTTAGACACTTGTTTTTATGGGAAATGACAATTTCTGAGGTCACTAAACACTAACACCGTGTGTGTAACTGCTACTTAACCTCTAGAGCTCACCACTACACCCTGACTGCTCACTATACACGTTACCTGTAGCACTCTTAGCCTAAGGACCACAGCGAAAGGGTAGCCGACTCCAGTAACGGTGAGGGCTCTGTCCTCGCACGGAGTTACGTCACAGACATCCTGGGCAGGAAGAGAGTCCTTCCGGTGGTTCAATCGACTCTGCACAGGAGAAAATCAGAGGTTAAGTAAGTTTACAAAATCTTAAAAGCCATTATTTGCTAATCGTTATAAAAAATGATACTTCAATTCCAAAAATTTCTTTTATAGCTGTTTTTTCACTGATATAGACTGAACATTTATAAAATTTCATTGGATGTTTAAGTTTTGAGACAAAACTCATAATTTATTGAAATAATTAAAAAGAAAAATATATTTAAAAAATAATGCTAATTTATTGATGGCAATATAGAGGGTAATCCACGGCCTATGTTTAAATATAGTTATCGTTACACTGTTTCGAAAACGTAGTGGATATAAAATGGCTCATTGTTATTTCCAATACAAAAGAATCGTATTGTACCGAAAACCTCTTTTTTAATAAATGATATTAGGAAGTTCCAGATTATGCTCTAAAAATTAAGTAGTTACTGAAAACTTTTGACTTATTTGGGTATGCATAGATTTTTTAATTTTTGTGACATATACTGTATAATAATGAATTAGATCATGAATAAACCCAATTAATTATATGGCACTAACCAAAATGTCATTTTGAGCCTCGTTTATTTTCCAAACTAGGGTTCTATTCGGTCACGTCTAAAAAGGTTAATTCAAGCCCTTTACGCTATTGCAACACTAATAAACATTTAAAAGAAATACCATATGACTCCGAGAGCGTAGAGAAGTTAAATAAAACTCCAGATATGTGTGCTCATGAATAGAGGGAATATAACAGTCCAAATTGTGAAGTCCTTGTCAAATAATTACAATTTACCTTTGTGTACTTCATTATGTATATAAAAAAGTAAATTTTTATAACAGAAATTAAAATAAAATATCCCGCCCTCCATTCGATGCAAAACGTACAAACTTATTGGATTTTAGTTGCTGATGTATTGAGTTTTTTAGACAGGTCTTTTTAGTGTATCAATGCCATAAGATTTTTTATAAAAGAATGTAAAACAACGTCAAAGGAAATTGGCTCAAGCACCACAACGTTAGAATTCTTCTCTCCCGTGCCGAATACCTAGACGCTAACTGCCTGGGGTGACACGCCGAGAAAAGGTTTATAATAAAACGAAATGACCACACATCCTTCCAATAATGTGGCCATATAGATACCCATGCCCCTACGAGGAGCAAAAATACTGGGATTCTATAAAATGTGTAAACGTAAAGCATTTAAATTGAAACTACATTTTACCAAGATGGATTAATAAAATTGCACTGCAAATAAATAATGATAACATAGTAATAAATGTAATTTGACTAATGTAGGCTACTGTTTTTAACTTTCAAAATAACTCAGTAGAAGAAATTAAGTTTTAAAATAGTAATGAATTTAATTTATTTATAATTTCTATAGCAATAGGTAGACCTACTACTGTATTAATATATCCGTTTTAATGCTACTATACGGACTTCTGTTTGATTAAATTGCAGCATAAACCTAAATTTACGTAATGCATAGTTTGTGAAACAGGTGGAATAATGTCTTATTATCTTCACCTTCCAGGCAACAACATAATATCACATTTGTTATGCCTTTACATAGGGTATTTTTTTTTAATGATGTATATTTTCGTCGCCCCCAACGCAAAAGGGCGTATCTCAAAAAAATACATTTTTCAGGATGCCTGTTAAAAAAAACCGCTCCTAATCTTATGCTTATAGCCGACACATTAATAAGTGGATTGTTTTAAGCTTTTTATATGTTATGACCTAAGGTTCAATTGACAATTTGCATTTTGGATATTAATTTTATCTTTTTAACTAACTGCAATAATTTTTTTTAAACCTCTTGAGATGCCCCTTTCTGTTGTGTTTATATCTAACTTTACTGATATACTAAAGAGATACGCCCATGTATAATATTGGTTGGGAGAAGAAAATTAATACAAATGTTGATAAAACACGTATAATATGTATTAGGTACAAAACATAGGGTAATAGAAACATAGTAACACAAATATAAATTAAATTATCTTTCAAAAACCATAAGAATTGAGTTAAATTAAATTAAAATCAACAAGTTTTTGTTGTTTAGTATTGATTAATTAGAAATTAAATCATCTTTCCTAAACCATCAACAAGTTTTTGTTGTTTAGTGTTGATTAATTCAAAATTAAATTATCTTTCCAAAACCATAAGAAATTAGTTAAAGTAAATTAAAATCAACAAGTTTTTGTTGTTTAGTATTAATTACAATGAAACTGTTCATTGATTAAACCAGTCTATATAGTCAGAGAAATATAGGATATGACCTTAAACAAATTGCAAGAAAACGTTTTATGGTTTTATTTTGTAGTGTTGGGTTTGCAGAACGACATACTAAAAGTTGCCAAAAATCGGTGCACGAGAAAACCACTAAAATCACAATTTAAAATGGCGGCTTTTCCCAACATTGAAAACATTTTGAAAAAAAACATACTACATACATATTATTATGAACATTTTTTGAGAAACTGACTTGGGACCACTGCCGATATTTATTGGGTCGTTAGTACTTAGTAACTTAGTACTTAGTACTTAGTAACGAAAACTCTCCCGCATACATTTCTTATGGACGTTTCGTAGCTTGATAATAAAAAAAAAATTATTTGTCTTATATCTCCAGTTCTTAATAACGGTTGCAGATCGTTCTAGCCTTAAAATATTCAGTAATGTAAGGGCTTCCATTTGAGCTCTCTAGCATTAAAATCATACAAGTTAAAGACCAGCTACGAACCTCAGAACAATATCAATTTTATCATTTTAGAAATATATTTTTACTAAAAGATTTATAACTCGGGATGTTAATACGTCACCAATTTGTTTCTGGTCTCAAATTAATCAGAAAATGTTTGGCTTTGATTTTATTTATCATTAGACAAAATCTGACAATTTTAAAATGAGTCATGGATCTTAATTTAACATTAAAATGTATTTATTTTGAAATTGGTCTTTAGTTAAAGACGTATATTCCATACCCTAATAACTCCCAGTAAGTATTCCATAGCTAAAATAAAAGTCAATAATGTTAGGAATTATTTAAGACTATAAAGAGTGTTGGGAGTGATTTAGAATTGGGGATATACGGCCTTAACTAAAGACAAATTTCAAAATAAATAAATTTTAATGTTAAATAAAGATTCATGACTCATTTTAAAATTGTCAGATTTTGTTTAATGATTAATAAAATCAAATCTATACAATTACTGAGTAATTTGAGACCAGAAACAAATTGGTGACGTATTAACAACCCGAGTTATAAATATTTTGATAAATTTATATTTCTAAAATGTTAAAATTGATATTGTTCTGAGGTTCGTTGCTGGTCTTGTGTGATTTTAATGCTCGAGAGCTCAAATGGAAGCACTTACATTACTGAATATTTTAAGGCTAGAACAAACTGCAACCATTAATAAGAACTGGAGATATAAGAAAAATATTTTTTTATTAACAAGCTACGAAACGTCCATAAGAAATGAATGGGGGAGAGTTTTCGTTTGAACATATCTTCTAAACGAAAAAAGATATTTAAAAACGGATTTCGCCATTGAAATCAGTGTAAAAATGTAGTTTGAAACGATGCGTCACAACACTATCATTACTTTAAAAAAAATATATCTATGTCCAATGTGGCGGATCCAAGATGGCGGCCAAAAACGCATTCCCTATCAAAATGAAGTACTAACGACCCAATAAATATCGGCAGTGGTCCCAAGTCAGTTTCTCAAAAAATGTTCATAATAATATGTATGTAGTATGTTTTTTCAAAATGTTTTCAATGTTGGGAAAAACCGCCATTTTAAATTGTGATTTTAGTGGTTTTCTCGTGCACCGATTTTTGGCAACTTTTAGTATGTCGTTCTGCAAACCCAACACTACAAAATAAAACCATAACACGTTTTCTTGCAATTTTTTTATTGATCCCTGTGTCAGTTTTCTTAGTTTGCTTGGACTAATAATCAGTCTTGAGTTTGTAACACAATTGATACTCGTAGGGAACATCTGATCTTGATTGTCTTTGGTAGAACATCTTGGTGGAACAACTTAGTCTTACCACAGGAGTATCACCGTTACACAACGCCATCAAGTCATCATACTTCTGTTTTGTGACGGTAGTTCTTTGGTATCCAGTTTGGTAACATGGATGGGCTTGGATGTTCTTTGCAGAGAGATAGTCTTGTCTTCATTTTGGTTGTGACTAGTCTTGTAAAATATTGTTTCATTGGGGGTTAAAGGGGTTTCATTGCGTAATACTGTACTGTAATGAGTTTTACCGGACAGCAATCAGCTGATTATACTGTATTTGGGTGGCAATGAGTGGTTATAAACAAAAACATAACCTCTCTTACAGGTTATGACTAGTAATTTTTAGTCCTTTAGTTGGTGGTAATATATAAGGATTTGTACAGATTTAGTAGTATGACGTAAACCATCGTACGCTATACGTATTATTTGTGCATATGAATAATATTTTAAACTAATAGTGATGATACATATACAACGATTCAAAACAGAAGAAAATTAGCTGATTTATTTAAATATAAACACAATAAATATAATTTATTATATATGTATTAGTGAGTCGGTGGCTCACTCGGTAGCGTCGCGGACTTCGAGCCCAAGGCAGCGATGTCATGGGTTCGGATCCCGGTCACTGCCGAAATAGTATATTACGTTAGTAGTCCGGAAAATAAGTGTTTACCGGACGAGCGTGGTCGTTCCCGTGCGAGACGAAGTCGAGTACGGGATAACCATACGAGTCCGGTACACACATTTTGGACGAGTTACGTACGATAGTTTACGCCGTACTACTAAATCTGTACAAATCCTTATATATTACCACCAACTAAAGGACTAAAAATTACTAATCATAACCTGTAGAGAGGTTATGTTTTTGTTTATAACCACTCATTACCACCCAAATACATAATCAGCTGATTGGTGTCCGGTAAAACTCATTACAGTACAGTAGTACGCAATGAAACCCCATTTGATTAAGCTGGTGGCAA